AGGCTGTTGTCCCTTGTTGATAGCACTTTGTGACGTATTTCAACAGCAACAGCTTAGGTATTTATTTAAACCTGTTAAAATATCCCATACGTGTTTTATCAGATAAAGCTTTGTATAGCATAAGGTTCAGAGTCTGGGGAGTGCAAATGAGTGGGATACTGATGAGATGGTTTGGCAAAATATTTGGGAGTGAACAATAATGCAAGGCAAATCCAGGTAGAATGTGGCAATCCAAAAATATCAAAAGGATTATTTATCCAGAATTGGCTTTGTCTGTTTATTCATATGTAACATTCATTCATATATAACTTCAACAACATGCAGCAATTTTTCTCATACTTCTCAGCAACATTTGGATTACAATTTGTCAAGACCCCACCAGGTGTGTCCAAACTGCAAATTTGTAGAACTCATTTAGATTTATTTATTGTTTCTCAAATGTTTCAATTTAAAACAACCAGCAGCAAAGATTTAGTCTCAAACAAGATAAAGGGTAGTTTATTGAAAACTACTTTTGCAATTCAAATAGAAGTCATGAAGCTGTTAGCTAAAAATATATAGGTACAAAAGTTTAAAAGTAGATACAGATGAAAGATACTTATAGGGATGAAAGTAAGATCAGTTTGATATCATTGCAGGCCTGGCTTGTTTGAAGATTTCTCCTTCTGAGGAAAACAGGTCAAAAATTTGAAGACAGAATTCAACAGCTGCAGTAGTTTCTTTGGTGAATAACTGGAGGGTGCTTGTGGGTATGATTTGTAGGTAGAGCAGAATATAGGAGAGAGAAAGGTTTCTTTTTGTTCCTCACTAGTTCTGTCATTACAGCACTAGCAAATTGCTTGGGATATTTCAACAAAACAGCAGGTGAGTTCTAAAAGCTGTTCTCCTTTGTGCGGCCTTTGGCTGAGAACTGTCTGTCTCTCTGGGTGTCTTTCAGAGTCCTTCCTGGGGAGTTTGCTAAAATGGTGTCTCACAGCCTAACATATCAAAATCAAAGCAAAATGTCTACTATGTTCACTTTGATGATTCATTGTTCCCTGAAGCCCAATGTCAGTTATGCTGGAAATCATCATGGTGTCCTTCCAGTCTCTCATACTGTCAGAAACTCTGAATTCTCACACCTTTAGAAGGACCCATTGTGATGTTCCCCAAGGGTTAATCAAATTTTAAATGTTTCCCTTTGTGATCGATGCTGAGGTAACACATCAGTCTGTCTGCTTTTTTGGTTGCATTGCATCAACAGAGCAGTTATGTGACATATAGGAACCATCTTATAAGATTGTTCATCCATCTTAAAAGTCTGATGATTATTCTTTACCAAATATATAATTGTATAATTACATAGTCATGAAAAAGTGAATATTTACACCAATCTAGTAGTATTTTGGCCCATATATATTCTGGTTCTGTGTTAATTGCTCTGTGTAGTCCATATTTAATTGGTCTGTGTTCACTGTTCTCGCCAGTCTGTGTTTGCTATTCCTGTTGAGAGCATAGAGTACAGCAACAGACCTATTTAATCTATCATTCAGGCTCTTGCAAACAAAATGTGTACTCTCTACTTTGTTGTTATACGCTGCTGTGATAGGAAGACTGACAGGAAGGAATATCATTTATTGCTGAACACCAAAATAGAACCCACTACTCATGATGGACATAGGCTAGTCCCAGCCTGGGGCAGACAGTTCAGCAGATCCAACCCTGGGTTTGCTTTATGTGTATTCTTTAATCAACCTGTTCAGTCCTTTGAGTATAGGAGTTGGGACATTATGTTGAGGTTGTACAGGACATTGGTGAGGCTCTTCTGGAATACTGTGTCCAGTTCTGGTTGCCCAGTTATAGGAAGGATATTATCAAGTTGGAGAGGGTTCAGAAGAGATGTACCAGGATGTTGCTGGGTATGGAAGGTTTGCATTACAAGGAAAAGCGGGATAGGCTGGGACTTTTTTCACTGGAGCGTAGGAGGTTGAGAGGTAACCTGATAGAAGTTTATAAAATAATGAGAGGTATAGAGTTGATAGTCTTTTCACAAAGATGGGGAATTTCAAGACTTGGGGGCACATTTTTAAGTGAGAGGAGAGAGATTTAAAAAAGACATGAGGCAATTTTTTTACACAGAGGGTGGTTCACATGTGGAATGAACTTCCTGAGGAAGTGGTGGATGTGGGTACAATTACAATGTTTAAAAGACATTTAAATGAATATATGAATAGGAAAGGTTTGGAGGGATATGGGCCAGGAGCAGACAGGTGGGACTAGTTTAGTTTGGGATTATGTTCGGCATGCACTGGTTGGACCGAAGGGCCTGTTTCCATGCTGTATGACTCTATGACACACCTCTGGAGCAGGTGGGACTTGGATCTGGGCCTCTTGGCTCAGAGATAGGGACACTACCGCTGTGTCACAAGAGCCCCTCTGGGTCTGCTTTATTGTATTTTCTAACGATGCCATTACATAACTCTGAAGCAGGTGGGATTTATACCATGACCACTAAAACTGCGCCATGAGATCTCCTGGGCCTGTTTTATTTTGTTTTAGAAACCCATCATTGGTTTTTCAGTAATTTTAATGAAAGTCATACATCAGGAAACTTCCGGAGCCACATCTGAACCTGTTCAGAAATGCCATCAAACACCTCTGGGGCAGGTGGGACTTGAACCCGGGCCTCCTGGCCCAGAGGAAGGAACACTACCTCTACACTAGATGGTTTGCTTTTATTAATTTTAATTTTTTTAAATCAACCTGTTCAGAAATGTTGTGACATACCTCAGGAGCAGGTTGGTCTTGAACCCTGGTCTTTCTGGCTCAGAGGTAGGGACACTACCACTGTACCACAAAAACCTCATGTGTCTACTTTATTTTATTTGGGAAGGAACAGCCTTCCATGTGGACCTTATCAAAGGCCTCACTGAAGTCCACGTAACCCACATCAACTGCACTACTTAATCAACATATTTAGTCATCTTTTCAAAAAACTCATTTAAATTAGTCAGACAGGATCTTCCTGTAACAAATCCATGCTGACTGTTCCTGATAAATGACTGCCTTTCTAAGTATTGTTTAAACCTGTCCTACCATTGATGTCAGACTATCTGGCCTGCAACTAACCTGGTCTGTCCCTTCACCTGTGGACAATGAAGTATTAAATATCTCCTGAAAGAACAGTGGAAGCTGTAAGTCACAAACAAAAACAGAAATTGTGGGAAAAACTCAGCAGGCCTGGCAGCATCTGTGGAGACAAATCAGAGTTAATATTTCGGGTCGAGTGATCCTTCCTCAGAACATGTGTAATGAAAGAGGATTAATTAGCAACCTTGTGGTTTGAGATCATTTGGGGAAAAGTGACCATAATATGGTAGAATTCTTCATTAAGATGGAGAGTGACACAATTAAATCTGAAAATAGGGTCCTGAACTTAAAGAAAGCTAATTCTGAGTTCCAGTTCTGAGGAAATGTCACTCAACCCGAAATGTTAACTCTGATTTCTCACCACAGATGTTGCCAGGCCTGCTGAGCTTTTTCAGCAATCTCTGTTTTTTTTTCATATTAACTATCTCCCTAGGGCTCCAGCAACCTCCTCCCTTGCCTCCTAAAACAGCTTGGGATACATCTCAACAGGCACTGGGAACTTGTACACCTGTGTGCTGTTAAAACATCTAATACCTCTTCCTTATTGATCTGAACATGCTCTAAAACCATCCCAACTGAAATCCCTGGCTACAATGTCTTTCTCCTCTGAGAATGCAGATGAGAAATATTCATTTAAGATCTTATCCATGTCCACTGGGTCTATGCACAGGTTGCCCCTTTGGTCTCTAATAGGCCCTGCGCTTTCCCTGGTAATCCTCTTACTCTTAATATATATTATATATAATGCCTTGTGGTTTTTCTTGATCCTATCTGCCAAAGATATTTTGTGGCCCCTCTTTGCCTTCTTAATTTCCTTCTTAAGCAACCTCCTACAGTCTCTATACTTTTGAAGATCCTCCCCTGTTTTTAATGCACTGTACCTTGCATATGCTTCTTTCTTTTTCTTTACAAACTCTTAACGTCCCTTGACATCCAGGGTTCCCTGAATGTTCTGTCCTTGCCCTTCACTCTTAGAGGAACATACTGGTCCTGAATTCGCACTATACTACATTTAAAAGGCTCACACTTTCCAAATGCATACTTGAGAGTTAACCTGCAAGTAGCTGCTCCCAGTCTATGTTTGCCAGATCCTGCCTAATTATATTGAAATTGACCTTCACCCAATTTAGACGCAACTTCTGCACTATCCTTATCCCATTCCATTATGACTTTGAAACATACAGAGTTATGGTCACTATTCCCAAAATGCTCATGCACTGACATTTCACCCACTTAACCAGCTTCATTGCCTAGGATTTGGTCTAGCACTGCCCCATCTCTAGTAGCACTATCCATGGGCTGGCACAAAAAGCTGTCCTGGATGCGTTTTGAAAACTCCATACTGGCTAATCCTTCCATACTCGTGCTTTCATTCCTTCTAAACATTCTATTCCTTCCAACAGTTTATGGTAATTAGTATTCGAAATAGGCCTTCATCGATTGAATTGAATATTCACTGTCCACCTCCGTTTACTGAGCACCTGTCAGGAAGCTTCTTGTGGGTGAATGTGGATTGGATTTAATGTGATAGTGATTAGTCTTCAAAAAAAGCCTCTTTTGCTGTGAGCTGCTTTGAGATGTCTCTCTTAATCTGCATGCAACCTAAATCCTACAAAACCCGTGGTAGACAGAGACAGTTTGATGAAAATTCAGCAAAAGTTGAGATGCGACTCCATTGCTAATATTTGTGAATAATTGGGTTTGAATTTGAATGTTAATCTGCAATATTCCAGCATGCAGCAGTTATCAAGCATCTATTAAAATGAATTGGATTGTTGATGTATAGACAAGGACTACCAAATGTACTTGTGCCATTCTGAATAATTCTCATTTTATCCCTCTAAAACTCTTTTTCTTATCACCTCACACAGAGCAAAGATGCCGGGATCAGGACTCTGGTTATGTTGGATGAACAAGGGGGTAAGTGCATCTTGAAGATGTGCGTACATGCCTGGGATGGGGAATTTACTTACATGCCTTTGATGAGGAATTGTGAATATGTGCCTGGGGTGGGGAATTGTGCATACATACCTGAGATAGAGGAGTGTGCATACATGCCTGGGATAGGGAAGTGTGCCTACATGCCTGGGAAGGGAAAGTGTGTGCAAATGTCCAGGATGGGGAACTGTGCATACATGCCTGAGTTGGGGAAGTGTGTGTACATGCCTGATTTGGGGAATTGTGTGTACATGCCTGGGAAGGGAAATTGTGTGTATATGCCTGGGATGGGGAATCATGCGTACATGCCTGGTTTGGAGAAGTGTGCATACATGCCTGGGTTGGGGAAAATCTGCATCCATGCCTGGAATGGGGACGTATGTATACGTGCCTGGGACTGGGAAGTGTGAATACATACCTGGGATTAGGAAGTGTGAATATATGCCTGGGAAGAGGAATTGTGTGTACATGCCTGGCATGGGGAAGGGCAGTGATGTAAATGATGAAGTACATTGAAAGGTGTTGATTTCAGTTTTACCTATTGGCATAACTCCACATCAAAAACCTCATACGGACATTATAGTTCTCTTCATTCAAAACCTTTCTGATTCTGAGGCACACTGTCCTCATGGTCTTTACTTCAGTCCCTGCCTGAGGCTAAGTAAACTGATTCCCAGCTGGGGGTTAGGGAAGAAACCAGCTTCCTCTCATGAAGGCTGAATGTTTGACTGTGGTTTCATCTAAGAGCAGGAAGCTTGGACAGTCTCTGTCCAGGTATGCACATGGATGTGGGTTGCTTAGACATGTCAGAAACACTTTACAAGGCAACACAGCACCTTCTCAGAAGACAAACTGAAATGAACAAATTGAGGAGCCTGTAACACACTGGATTATTAACATGAGGACTTTGTTAACTGCAAATTAATTATTCACAATTTGGCAAACTGTATTTAACCCACTGTGCAGAATAACATGACTTAGGATGGTGACTTAGGAAGCTGGAGAAAGGACAGGAGATTGTTGATGCCCAAATAAAATCACCAATCCAGAAATTGTGTGATCTCTAACTGACATAACCATGTGATCACAACCCCCAACGATGTGATCACAACACCCAAACCATGTGATCACAACACCCAAACCATGTGATCACAGCGCTCAACCATCTGATCCCAACACAATCATGTGCTCACCAACCTGCAACCATGTGATCACAACATCCCAACCATGCTATCAACCAACACTCAAAAAATATTCTTTTTCATCTCACCTCTAGCTCTTTTGCACCTTTTAACAGATTAGAAGATCCATTCTTCTGTGTTCAGTTTATATTTTTAAAAACATGGGGGGATATCCCATTCCACAAAATCCAACAGCAAAAATGCTGACCCAGCCAGTGACACTCATGTCCCATGACTCATGAGTGGATAAAAAAAATGGTAGCCAATAATGTGAATTATTTTCATAAATAACTCTAACAGATAACATTGGCTGAGAACAAGATGTGCTCTCTGATCTCTCTGATCTGAGTTTCGGTTGAGTAGCACTTCTGCGAACACAATGACACCTTGTCGTTCCCTGATGGTGGAGTAGAGGGAATTAGATCTTTACTTCAACAGGGAAATACTCAGGAACATGAATTGCTGTGTAATTCTAAAAATTCAGAATTCTTCCTCCAACATGAAACATTGCCCAGTGAACTCACTTTAATCTTCAACTGCCATGCTATTTTTAGAATATTAGCATTTGCCCATACTATTCACATCCAGGAAGGAGGTTTGTAGCACAGATGGATTAAATGTGTCCCCTTTGTTAATCCAGGGCTAAACTAATCATCCTGCCCTTCTCCCCTCCCCAGAAACTGCTTTCCTCAAATCTTTGTCTATACCCATGCTTTCAAAACCGTATGGATTCTGGTTCTGCTGTGGTAAAACATTCCAGGCTTCAACAAGCCATAGACGACTGAATCTTTCTGACAACCAAATCTGATTCCACCCAGTTGAGTAGCGCTTTTGAGAGCACAATGACACAATTTCTGTAAACGTTCGGCCTCATGTCCTTTTGTGTTGGCTTCCATCTTGGATAACACAGTCTGAGATCATTTAGTTTGCATTCAAAGTACAAACTATTCTGATCATCGCCAATTCTCAAAACAAATGCAGACAGCAAACATTTCTGATTTTTGTGATTATCCAAAGCTCCACTGACAGTAGATGTAGGGTGGGGAGGTGTGGAACCCACATTCTTTTCCAGCTACAACCCCAACACCCCACCACCAACACCTGCTCCAATATCCAAACCCTGGTGTTTGTGTTTCTCCACATCCTCAGATTCAAATGTCCAGAGCCCCTGATCTATTTCTGGATATTATTTTGGGGAGATTCCTACATCTTCCAAACTGGTTGTGACTTGACAGACACCTGGAGGCTTCCCACAGTTATATCAAGTCTTATTTCCCTATTTTAGCAACTCTGTTAACAGGCTTAGCCGTCAATGAGTGCACAAAGGAACTTGAAACACAAGACCACAGGAAATAGAGGCAGGGGAAGACCACTCAGCCCATCACATCTACTCCCCCATTCAATATAATCATGGGTGATCTTGGGCTTTAACTTCACTTTCCTGCCTGTTCCCCATGTCCCTCCATTTCCTGAGAGACCAAAACATCTGTCAGTCTCAGTCCTAAATATATTCAACGATGGAATGTCCATAACCCTCTGGGGTAGAGAATTCCAAAAATTCAAAATCCTCTCATCTCAGCCCTAATTGATTGATTCTCCCCTTGCCCTGAGACTGTACTCCTTGTTCTAGATTCCCCAGTCAGGGGAAACAACCTCTCAATGTTGACCCTGTCAAGGCCTTTCAGAATCTTTATGTTTCAATCAGATCATCTCCAATTAAACTGACCCCTGGTTCTGGACTCCCTTGTCCCCAGGAACATACTTCTTGCAAATTCCCCTTTCTAGTCATGTTAGAATTCTAAAGGTTTCTGTGAGATCCCCCCCCCTCATCATTCTTCTAATCTCAGGTGAATATAGTCATAACCAATCTAGTGTCTCTTCATATGTCACTTATACCATCCTAGGAATCAGTCTAATAAACTTAACTGCACTCCGTCCATAGCTCGAACATCCTTCCCAAGGTAAGGAGACCAAAACCGCCCAAGTATTCCAGATGTGGTCTCACCAAGGCCTGGTACTATTGCAGCAAGACATCCCTGTTCCTGTAATTGAATCCTCTTGTTATGAAGGATGACATGCCATTGGCCTTCTTTCCTTTGCCTTCAGATTTGAGGCCTGAAAACTGAGAGGTTGATTAGGAGGAGGAGAAGGGTGGTGTTGGGTCAAAGGCCTAGCAGAACAGGGGAGGGGGAGAGGGGTGTGGAGTTCCTTGGCAACCAGTGCTGGCTCAGAGCTCATGACCCCAGAATATCAGCTTGCCACCACCACTTGGAGTCCTGACCACCGCTTCAGCAAGTGCTGCACTGAAGGATCACTTGGTGAGAATTACAAGTTGCTGCAACAGCTGGACCTTTGCTGAGACATGTGAGGCCTTGCGATTACCTCCCTTATCTTCTTCCACAGCATTCAGGAAATGTTCACGATGGGAAACCAACTCCATTCCATTCTTTGAGGCCTTAGCACACCAAAATCAGGACATTGATAATCGAGGTTTTTGCAAAAGGCAGGACGAAGTTCTAATAGTGAGAATGGCTGCCAGACTATATCATCAGTGTCAGAATCTATTTAACTGGAAGAAAGCATGAGCTGACCAGCAGTTGGTCCAAGCGGGAGGAGCCAATGACTCAACCTCTATAGACCAGTGCTTTCAACAGGAGACTCCCTCCCTCCCATGCCTCTCCTAAACCCTGATCATTGTCCATATGGAGACGAGCAGTGGTAATATCACTGGATTGGTAATCCAGAATCCCAAGTTAATGCTCTGGGGATGGGAGTTTGAATCCTGCCAAGACAGATGATGATATTGGAATTATAAAGGTTTGGACTTAAAAAGCTAGCCTATGTAACCACTATAAATTGTCAGTTAAAAAATAATAAACCATCTGGTTCACCAGTACCTTTTAGGGAGGGGAATCTGCCATCTTTACCCGTTCTGGCCCACATGTGACTCTGGAGCCACAGCAATGTTGCTGATTCTTAACTGCCCTCTGGGCAATTAGGGATGAGCAATAAATGCTGGCCTAGCTAGTGACGCACACACTATATGATCAAAGAAAAAAAAACTGCTTCTCTCTGTTATCAACAAGCCTCTCCATGACTTCTGAACCTCAGGCTCCAGGTCCTCCAATTCACCCACCCTCCACAGATAGCCCAGCGCAGCTCATGACCTAAAGGTGGTGCTCCCATATTTGGCTTTTCCTCTTGACCGCCTCTCAGTTTGTCAGTCTGGGCCAGTTGATGGCTCAGATTTGTCCATCAGCATTGTGAAGAAACTTGGCTCCAGGTTCTTCACCTGTTCACAGGCTCCCCAGTCCTCCATTTGTAACAGGGCTGAAGGCTGAAGGAAGCCTTGCTGTCCTTTGTCCCTGGTTTAGCTCTTTCAAAAAGATATCCAAGTGGGGCCACACCCCTATCCTTTCCCCAAAGCCTTCAAATGTCTTCTTTTCAAGTATTTGGCTAATTTCTTTCTGAAGTTTACATTTTGTTTCCTCCAACCTGCTCTCAAGCAGTGCTTTGTAATAACTCATTGCATAAAGATGGAAAATTGGGATCATTTTAATGGTGGATCTGGTATCAGACAAATTGGTTTCTCCCAGACCCATCAACCTCTTTGCTGATTTCATTGGCTATTTCCTATCAAAAAATTTGAATGTTACAACCCCATTGTGACAATAGGGATGAGTGGGAATTATCTCCCATGTCCTACAAGATGAGGTACACACTAGAAAGTATTCAGTCTCTCAGCACCCTGAATGAAAGGTTTCATTGAACAATGCTTCTTTTGGCTTCACAGACTAATAC